GGGAAGGAAGGGGGGGGGGGGGGCGGTGGAGGGAATGTTTGAGCAAAACGAGGGCACATCTGACCTGTTTAAACAGAATCATTCTGGCTACAGTGCAAGGACAAGGCCCAGGTGGCGCAGCAGGGATCCCTGTTAGTCGGGCAGAAGCAAAAGGGGTGAAAGAGAGGAAGGCAGCGGCTTGTAGGTGTGGTCTGCCAGCAAAACTGACAGGGCTTGGAGATAGATGGAACTGAATGGGATGTGACTCAAAGAGTTTTGGCCAGAAGGGACAGACTGAGGCACAAAGGTTGAATATTAGGGATCAGGAATTCAGATATGGGCTATGGAGCTTCAGGTGATGATTGGCATCCGTGTAGAGATCCTCAGGAGTCCCCAGGGCCTATGTGGGTTGGAGGCATGCTTTTGGGAGTCATTAGCATATGCCCTTTAAAAGCCCAGAGATCAAATGAGATCTGCCAGGATGGGAGTATGGGGGGAGGAGAGGTCTGGAGCTAGAAAGGTACCGTGTTTCACACAGGGGGCTCAGAACAGTTAGAACAGTCTGTGTGGGGAGAAGAGACCCTGTAAATTGTGGCCTTGGGAAGAATCAAAGTTTTTCCCATATGTCAGTGGTGCATGCTCATTTCTAGCTGACGCATGCTCATGCCACTCACACTACTCTCCTTCCCACCGCCAGTTACTTTGATGCCCTGGTGAAGCTGCGAGAGCTGCGGGAAACTGATGGAGGCTTCCTGAGCTGGAATGACCTGCAGGCTACTGTGAGCCAGGTCAATGCCCAGGTCCAAGAGGAGACAGACCGTGAGTGCTTTTACCCTCTAGTTCCCCTGTCAGCCCAGTCCTTCCCCTATCATTCTCATCCAGATCTTTCCTCAGAGGTCCTTGCCATCAGCCTCATCAATGAGGCTCTGGACCAGGGCCATCCTGAAAAGACTCTGTCCGCCCTGCTGCTTCCAGCAGCTGGCCTGGAGGACATCAGCCTGCCTGTTGCTCCTCGGTATCATCTCCTCCTTGTGGCAGCCAAGAGGCAGAAAGCCCAGGTGAGGCTAGAAATGGCTGGGTTGGTAATTAGAGCAGGGGGAACAGCCTTGTGGACAGAGATGTGCCAGCATGCATCCTGGCACTGCTCCAGACTGATGGATACAGACTCTTCCCCAGGCAAGGCACAGGCAGAATTTAGTTGATATTGGGGAAGTGTGGTCCTCTTTGCCAGGGTCCTGGACAATGTGAGGAGAGAAGAGGCCTGGGTATCAGAGGCTGGGCTGGATTCCCCACTCTGATCTTCTGGATTCACCTGACCTTGAGCGATCTCTTGATGTCTCTGGGCTATGCATACTTATCTGTAAAGCACTGAGTACTCTGTCCCTTGAACCTCTTGGTGAGAATTCAGTGAGATGACAAATGAGGTAGGGATTTGAACTGACATACTCCAAGTATGTGGCAGCACAACAGGGTTGAAAACTAGGGCCCCCAAGCCAAAATACTGAGTTTGCATTCTCAGTCTTACCCTACAGTATCATTTAATTTCCCTGCTGCCATTTTCCCACACAAACTTGTGACAGGAACGAGCTTACAGTTGTTAGCTCACAGTTGTTGGATTTGAGTAAGGTAATCAGATCACAGTATTAGCAAAACCAAGCATTGTTTTTTGCACCTTTCAAATATTAATGCATAGAAAGGTCTTCATAACAGTTCCTGGAAGCACATACTTGCAGTCCCAGCACCTGGAAGGCAGAGGATTGCTTTGAGTTTGAGGCTGTCTTGAGTTACAGAGACCCTGTCTGAAAGGAAAGGAAGAAAGAAAAAGAGGGAGAATAGAGGGAAGGGAGGGAGGAAGGAAGGGAGGAAGGATGGACAGTACCTAGCACATAGTCGGTGCTCAATAAAATGTTAGTTTACAGAATCTATTCCTGATGAGAAGAGAGTAGATGGAGTCAGGTTGGGCTTCAGGCCGACCACATGGCAAACAGGTTTATTGACCTGTCTCATAATCTTCCAACTACTTTTGGGGAGTTGGGCGTGGTGGTGCACTCGGGAGGCAGAGGCAGGTAGATCTTTGTGAGCTCAAGGCCAGCCTGGTCTACATAGTAAGTTCCAGGCCAG